AAGTTCCACAAGTCAGAAATGCAATAGAAGAAACTATTAACATAGAACTTACGCTTACATCTTGCCATTTTGACTATTAAATTATGAGACCTTGCTGACAAACTAGTACTGCACTTAAATTTATAAATTCTAGGTACCATAGAGCATAGTTGATCAGAACAATTAACATGAAATTATTTATAGAAAAGGCACAGGGAAGCTACGTTACAGTGGCAGGAAAAGGACTAAAGGCAAGATGCCAGGTCAGAACCAATGACATTGCAGATTCTTCTTTGGATTTTATCAAGAATCTCTAAATATATAGTAGGAGATGTGGCAGCAATATTCAAAGCAAGAACGAATGGTAGACTTAGAAATATATAAGATAGATCCTGTCCAGAAAAATTGTCTACCACATCATAGTGAACCAACTTTCTTAGGTGCCGACTTAGCAACGGATTCAATATGATCTTTCCATTTCACATCAGTTGAAAATATTATTCTTAGAAGTCCTGCACATGAAAATTTGCATTATGAGATTTAGATTAAAAGTCTAAAAACTTGTTTTCAATCAAGAAGATAAACTGCAATAAAAATGTTTTCATTTTAACACAAATTGAAGAACCAATAATATTAAACAAGAGTCTTCTCCATAAGTTCAAGAGATATGGTGTCTCAGGTCAAATATTTGACTTAATCTGATAGGGTAATGAAAATTGTGTTGAAAGTCCATTCTTCTAGATCATTTCATATTAATGTTGGAGGGGGGCAGAGCTCTATCCTCGGATCTACTTCCTTTCTTATTTTCATCATGACCTTCTCAATGTTATCAGTTCCCAACTAGTTATCTCTGCTGATGACAACTATTTACTCCTGTCTTAATAGTAAGCCAAATAGATCCGACAATGTAAAATTGGCAGCTGCTCTCAAATACGACTTCTAATCAGTTAACTGGGACAAGGGTTGGCTTGTAAATTTCAACACCTCCAAAACAAAATTGCTGTCCTTTAATCATCATGGTGAACCATTTTGCTCTGCATCAGTATGGCTGATGCTAACCTCGAGGAGAGCAATTCATTGCGTTTTTTTGGTCTCACATTTTCTACCAACATGAAGTGGAGCAATTGTATTGAATCAATTGCTAGGTCTGCTGCTAAGAAGGTTAGTCCACTAGGTTGTATTAAACAATTTTTCTTATTCAAATTTATCTCGTATGTTTATAAATCTACCATTTGTCCATGCATTGAATATTGCTGCCATATCTGATCTGGTGCTCTGGTTATATATCTCAACATTCTGTACAAAATCCAAAGAAGGATCTGTAATGTTATTGGTCCTGACCTGGCATCTTGGCATCAGTCACTTTCCCCACAACTATGATTTCCCTCTGTCTTTTCTATAAATATTTTATGGCAGTTGTTCTAATGAGCTCCCCTTCTTGGTACCACAACTTCAAACGTATCACTAGATTGGCTATTAGGTCTCATCATTTTACTGTTGAAATAGCTAAATGTAATCATAAGTTCTATTCTAGTAGTTTATTTTCTCGCACTTCTCCCCTGTGGAACTCTTTCAATTTCTTGCTTCCCTGCCACATATAATCTTGAAAAAATTTAAATGTAATGTCAATTGCAATCTTCTGCCCTCCTGAATCCTGTTCTTTTATTGTCCTTTCTCCTCACTAAATTCTTCTCTTTCTTTTCCACTCACAGTAACCTCTTGCAATTTAGTGGCATTAGTGCTTTGCTTGGAATGAAATGATTAAAAAAGAAAAAAAAATTATCATGGTGATTTAATACCAAAAATGATTAAGAGTCTGACTTATTTACATTATTGTCCTCATCTTTGTTGTTATCATCACAACATTTTGTCCATTGCACCCTCCAGCCTTCTTCAGATGATTGTCAACCCAGTTAACCATTACAGAATTTTGCACTGAACCCTTTATCTAATCTACTAGAGTAGATTATACTTGTTCCACTGTCTATGTCTATGGATATGTCATTTTGTTCTTATTTAGTACTGTTCAGTTATTGCTCACCCTATCGCCACTAACTCTACACTACAAGGCCTAGGGATTGAACTCACAATTACAATGTTACCAAACTCATGAACCAATGCTTTAATCATATATCATATCATGATTTGTTGGTACATGTATTACTTTGATTTGCATCTTTGCCATAGAACTCCCACACAATCTGTAGTGAGAGGTACAAAAGTAAAATAGTGCCATAATATTTAGGCAACATGAATAATTAAAAAAAAAAAATCATTTGGAAATATAACACACAACAATGTCAGTTGAGACTGCAAAATAGTTGATTATATTCTATGCAGATAATATTTGTTATTGTGGTAAAAGATCTGAATGTTTTTGCAAGACTGGAACCATATTAAAATTCCTCTCACATGCACACACACACACACACACAATTGTAAATTTGTGTCATAGGAAAATGAAATTCATAAAAAGCTAAGAAAATATATTTCTAAGATATTTTTTTTAAAAATACAATTTATAATTGTACATCAAACTTCGAATGAAGCAGTTCAGACCAAATGTTTTCAATGTCATTTATTTCACAGTAAATAACACTAAATATTCTATCAAACATCTTTTTTCTTCATCAGAGCACCAGTAACATCTAAAGACAGAAAGACGGTATTTTCTCTCTCTCTCACACACACACAAACACACATGTATGCATATACGGAATATTTCATTAGTCGCTGAAGTTCCCTCATCAACAAAAACTCTGTACTGCTAGGTTTACATTGCGCATAATATGTACAGAAACAATAAGCATAAAAAAGACAGTCATTATGTTTTTTTAGGGGATTGTGGTAATAAAAAAAATTAAATTAAAAACTGGAAGGCAAAAATTAAATATGCTATCAATCGAAAATCAATATCAACTGCAAAAGAAAAAAAAAACGTCTTGAAGTGGCTTGAATGATTGATTTGTTTTTTTTTACAATTTTTCAAATATGGGTTATAAAGCCAAACTATTGTATGAATAATAATTTTTTGACGTGTAAACATAAACTTTTTTGGAAATAACAATAAATCCTACTATAAGCTAGCTGGGGGAGAGAAGAGAGATAGTTACCAACCTTTACCAATCCAATGGTATTTTTGTGCGTAAGTGAATATATCGATCTCTACTGGAATTCGAACTCGGCTCTGCGATTTTTCATTCAGAACTAACGAAGCGGGAAGTTTTGTTTTTTTAAATCTTCCTAATGATCTTACAAAAACAAACAAACAAAAACAAATTAGCTTTAAGAACGTAGGCTTAATGTTTTTCATTTTCTTTTATTTTTGTACGCATTGTCGTTTTTTATGAAAAATATCCTCGGCTTAAATAATTTGATAACTTTTTTCTGCAACATCAGCAAAAAAATGTATGTCTCTTCGTTTCATCAGAGACACTAAGTATCAAAAAATATTTCAAACTCGGTAAAAAAGTTATAAAGATAAAAATATATAAACAAATTTATGACTATAAACATTGTATCAGTGAGGAACTTCATATAGCGAAAGACAGGCATCCAAAATTAAAGTTACTTTTTTAGCAATAACAATGTAAATTTTTTCATCCACTGGAAACTGAATTTTGATCTGAAGATGGAAATACACATCGAAATATAAACAAAATTAACTAACTAGATTCGCTCGATATTTTTTCCGCTGTTTTGCTCTTCTTCACCCACCCCTCCCCGAGTTACTTTCTTTGTCTTAAATTTTTATTTTATTTCTATTGAAATATGACATTATTGTAAACGTTTACAAACTCATGTAATGAACATCTGATGTCAGGTTTCGAAAAACAATGTCTCCATTTTTTTTTCTTTACAAAAAAAAATAAAATAAAATAAAAAAAAATTTTTTCTAAAAAAAACTGAAGATAAATATTTTTAAGAAAAGTTAGTAAAATCCACATCTGTTATATTTTTGCCAGGAAAGATTGAGAAAAATGACAGATTATAAACACAGGATGAAAATTTGCTAAAATCTAACTTAACATCAAATTTAAAAAAAAAAAAAAAAACAACATCACAGATGCAGTTATTTACAAATTTAAAAAAAAAAAACCTTCAGGCAAAAGGAAAAAACTAAAAGGGAAAGCCTGAATTAAGGAGTGTTGTCAAAAATCAAGTCATTGTTCCGAAAAAGAGGGATCATTTTCTAATTTTATAGCTCTACAAAATTGATCCCCCAATTCTTCTCATTAATATAACTATTTTTTTTTCTAATTTTAAAACTTAATTAGAAAAAAAACAAACGAAAGATATGATAACTTTTCTTTCAGACACGAGACAATTTTTCAAATATTTATTTTTTTTTTTAAATTCCTCAATTAAGTTTCCGAACAAACTTGGAAAATAACGTAAATAATAAATTGAAAAATAGGTAACAATAATAAATAAAGCTGTTTTTAGAACAAGAAAATGAAAAAAAATTGTTATTCTTAAGAAAGGAGTCATGTACCTAAACGAGGTCGCGATCCAAGAATTTATTTTTAATAACAATTCTTTAAAAGGGACTTATCTAGTCAATTTTTCTAAAATTATAAAACAAGAAAATCGGGAAGAAAAGGAAAATGTATTAAAATAAATCAAGACACCTGATCATCATTTTCAAACCCTTAATTTTAAAGAATCGTCTTTTTTTCTTGTCTGTTGTTCTTTTTTAACCTCTCAATATTTTGATCACATTTTTATCACGCTTTCTAATTCTGATTTCTGAAACCCCACAAAATCTATACACTCAGTACTAAGTATAACTATTTTAGAGATGACTTTTGAAATAACCCCTTTAAAAAAATATGAAGGCAACCAATTTACGAGAAAAGGCGACCTTCTCACCAACAACACACGAAAAGCGAAAGAAAAAGAAGAGAGTAATTTTTACGATCGCACCACATTGTGTCCTTGTTTATTGTTTGCTTTTTTGTGTGCATTTTTTAAAACCATGACGGCAAAGATAAGACTTTACAAATTGATGAGAATTCTACCTGGAGGTGTCATCGGAAACATGTCGTGCCGTCCACGTCGCTGCGTACAACTGAATAAAGCTAAAAATTGCGTCCGAAGCAGGCAACAGCGGCTGACTGTGAACAGGCAAAGAATTTAACTATGGCGGCTTGCATTCGCCTCTTGTTTTCAGCACTATTCATTTGTTCCAAATTTAAGTAATTCATCAAATATTCTCCGGTCTTATTCATTGACTATTAGGTCATCTAAAGTCAACAAAAATAATTAAAAATTATAATTATTTCTATTTTTATTCAGTAAATTTATTTTATCAGCACAATTCTTTTTTTCGTTCACCCAAAAAATACGAATATTTCGTGAAATTAGTAGGAATTTATTTGTGGCTACTGCTGCTACTTGCACCTGCTGCGCTGTGGAAACGGCTTAATGGTTAATGTTGCGGTCTAGAGATTGACAGCTCTCGCCATTTATTTACTTACCTAGCTTAGTATGACACAAGGCCAGAAATGTAATGCACTTAGTGATAATCTAACTCTTTTTGAAAGTAATAATGATCAGAGAGAACGAGATTGCACTTACTGCAAGATGTCTAAAATGATCTGAGTTAAAACAAAAGTAAAGAACCACATACACGGGACACCCTGTGAGGATCAAACTCATTGCAGTAGTAGTGGAGTAATTACAAAGTATCGTTCTTTGTGAAGCTCCCAAAAGAATTAAAAGATTTTGCAAATGATAAAATATATGAAATATTAATATTAAATGAATGCTTATTAGATGAAACATTTTGTCAAGTATTATTAATTTTTGATTAGCATTTATTTCATGTTAATTTCAATTGCTGTTTATTGCAACTACTCAGACAAGTCATTTTCTGACGATGCGTAAACAGTACAGACTGAAAATAAAGCTTTCAGTGTAACTCAAATTCCCATCACTTTTGTCTCAGAAAGCCTATCTTACTATAGTTAGTTTAGACCATGACACAAATGATTGGCTGTAGAGAAGATACAAAGTAGCAGCAGCCAGAAGTCTACTAGCAACAGCTGACTGGCACCTTTAAAAATTCATGCTTTCAAAAAGAAACTCTCTACACTTTTCTTTCACCTAATGCAGAGAGTCACAGACCTAACGAGAAACGCTTCTCTTTCGCCAATTATTAAGCAGTACTTTTCTTTGTTCAGAAATATTGATTTCAGGATTTAGACTCTGTTGTTAACAAAAGACATAAGCATTTCCACAGGGTGACTTTTATCATTTTATTCCTATTCAATGAAATAATTATTTCATAAAATTTCAACTTGTCATGTATTTGCTTTCCTTCTGTATCATTTTGTAGAAACCATTTTTAGTGATATAGATAACCTCCGTACATCATTAGTATGATACCTGCTCTTACCAAGTGAGATATAAGATCAGCATAAAAATACTTAGTCCCATGATTTTGATGTTATTAGTTTTTTATATTATATTAGTGTATGGAAGAATATGATATACAACTCAATATATCAGACTAATAGTGGGTAACTGAGTGTCAAAATGGAAAAAAATATGTATATGTAGGGGAGGGAACAAATTAGTTACAATCTACATCAAGAAAATCCTGAAGATACAATAGCCAATAGGCTTAACTTTAGGTTGAAATTGGTAATTACTGGTGTCTTATGTATCTAGATGCATAACCAAGCTGGCTTCATTCAACTTTTTATTGTTTTTGCTTTTGTTCTTTTCATTATTTTTTAAAAATATCTGATATTATCCCAGATTGATAATGCACCCAATGCACATTATTATCCCACATTCATAATACACCCAACACACATTACTATCCTACATCGATAATACATTCAATACACATTATTATCCCAGATTGCTAATACACCCAATACACATTATCTCACATTAATAATAAGTCCAATTCACATTATTACCCCACATTGATAACATACTCAATACACATTATTATCCCAGATGGATTATACACTCAGTATACAATATTATCCTACATTGATAATACACCCAATACACATTATTATCCCATGTTGATAATACACCCAATACACATTATCTCACATTGATAATACACCCAATACATATTATTATGACATGTCGATAATACACTCAGAACATTGGTCATACATCATAGTAAGTCTGGCTGTAATTTTAACTTAAAGAATGTAGTTTTAATTATAAGATAAAGTAATTTATTAAGGTGAAAAATTTATAGCAAGTGCACTAATTTCTGAGTTTTCCATAGTAAATTCACATCCAGGATCATGTGTACAAAGTGGAAAAGATTTTTTTAATTATAACGTGTTTCGTCGTCATGTGCAAGGTTTATGTCTTCAGCTGAGAATGAAAGATAAAACTGTGTCTTTTTTTTTATTATTAAAACCATTAATGTCTGTTGGATTTGAAATTATCCCACTCTGAGTAGGTCTCTGTTATTCTCTCTATTATTATCAATAGCAGCACAATGCAGTGATACACAAACTAATACAGAGGTGATGTAAGGTTGGATGTGCGGGTGATTTAATGGATAATGACTCAGAAATGTTAATCAGAGAATCGAGTCCCAATTTCCATTGGGTTTGTTATAATCACTTATGTGCAAATACATTTGGGAATCGTATGAATCCACCTCTTCTTCCTCCAGCAATGGAGCTAATTAGAAAGATTTGTAAAACTAAACTATTATTATCTCCCTGCAAAGATCCTTACAATCTAAAACCATTTTCTGGCTTTAAATAACCTGCAAAATGTTTATAAGAAAATGAATCAATCAATAAAAATCCAGAATCTACCATGGCCACAAAGTAAGAGATCAGTTTATATATTTATTGTAGTAGAGAATTGATCTCCCACTTTATATCCACTTATAATTTCTAGTTTGTTTATCAAATTCTGATTAGGTATGAATCTGCCTCTTACCCCCTGCTATGGGTTAATTAGTAAGACTCATATCGCAAAGTCAATATTACTTGAGATAATAATGATTTAATTATATGAGCCTTACAAAAAATAAAAATTCTTACAATCTAAAAATATTTCTGGCTTTAAATAACCCTAAGAGGGTTGATAAACTGTAAAAAATGAATGTATCAATATTTTGAAGTTCAAAATGCATAACAGGATTTTTTCTCATTTTGTCATTCAATTACATACTGGTGTATATAAATAATAATAACAATAATGTTGTGGTGTGTGTGATTCAACATCTCATAATAAATGCCCATTTGTCCATAGTAGAATGTCTATACATACAAATCTACACAGTCATATGCAAACAAGGCAAGACTTATTTCAGTTTCACTAGAAAAAGATTATATTTAGGCTGGAACTGCCCAGTTCTCACTTTCCAGCCTTGTGGGCAAGACATTATTTTCCATCCTGCAGCCCCTTTCCCCACAGATGAAACACTGCTAGCCTCTCACTACTCTATCGCTATTTCCATGGCAAATGTTCAGACAAGCTGCATTCCTTAGTTTCACCAGTTCAGACCTTCACAGCTAGGACACACCATACTATGTACACAGGGTCAACTCATCCTCATTCCCTTTGTATTCTGTTGGTAAGGAGGAAGTTCCACTCACACAGCTTCTTCCCTAGAACTGTTGCTTTGTGGAACAGACTCTTGAGAGGATGCTTCCCCAGCCACTACAATTTTAACCTCTTCAAATCTAGAGTCAACCATTTATCCTACATATCCCCATAATATGCACTACTTATTTTCTCTCTTTACATCTTTACCTCATACAATAACCCTCTATCTTGAGTGGCTCTTAGGGCTTGCATTTGGTGAACAATAGTATTGAAAAATAACAGCAAATATGGTCTCACTGAGTGATTGCAGAAAAATAAAGAATAAGTTCATATGATTAAAAATGATTTTTGATAGCCATAAAGTTCTTGAATCTCAGAGTAATTGGTATTATTGTAAGCCTCCTAAAGGGAATTTGAGTAAAAGCAAGATCTTATTCTGGATTTCCAATCCATAATGTTTATTGACCTGCCCAAATCTGGAAGAAGGAAGAGGAAGTAAGCAACATTTCTGAAATTTTTTAGATTAGGTCATTAATGTCAGGGTCATTGCAAGGGGCTCATGCCCCCCACCTTGGAATCCATGATACAGCCCCCCCCCCACAATACTACATTTCAATTTTTATAAGGTAATATTCATACAAAATACAAAATTTTATTGTAACCTTTATGTACAATAATGGATCATATGCAATATAAATGAACAATTCAACTAGAAAAATTGAAAATAAATGCAATGTAACTAAATACAAATGTCATAATAGATCATTAAATAAATCAACAATGTTTTGCAGAAATTTTTAGCATCAACTTGAGATTTTTCTTGTTAAAAAGATGGGTAATTTTAATACATTCAACACTATAGATAAAAATAGTGAATTTTATTTTATATAGTGTTTTTTCAAGACTTAGCATGAGCAAAACAAATTCAGATTTGGCCCAAAATAAAACAGAATGACATCGAAATCCACAAAACATTTTCATCCTTTAATAGTCAGTTGTGCTTAGTTTAATTTGTAACACATATATAAATATAGGTAGAAAAAGCAAATGTTGATAAGATAGCAAGGATCGCAAAGCACTGCCTGGCGTGTTTGGGGGTAGTACACACCAGACCTGATAAAAGTAATTTTTGGCTTGAGGGGAATCAATGTCTATTATCATGTGTAAAATTTTTTGTGTCAGCTTTCAACTGCAACAAAAGAATATTATGTGGTACAAATCATTGGTCATTTCATATGGGAAATTTCAAACACAAAATCTCTGTTATCTCAGTTTGCAAAATATACAGTTACTTCCCTTGTCCAGAAAAGAGCATTGATGGTCATTTGCAATAAAAAGCACTTGGAATTAAGATGAAAGAATTACAAGTCTAAAATTAATAATGGTTATCAATGCTTCATCTAATAAGAATTCTACATAATATCACTACTAATATTATGAGTTTATATAAACAATGGTAATAACTGCATTGATCAATTAGCAAAAACTCA